CTGCCGGCCGCGTGGAGATGGAGATGCTGGAGGGATCTGGCAGCCGAGCGAGGTGGACGCGTGATCACATCCATGTCACCCCCTCTACCTCCGGGCAGAAGGGAAATGGGGTTTGGGGCTCCCAGGAAGCAGGCAGGAAGGAGGGAGGCTTTTCCTGGCTGCAGACAGCACCAAGGTTCCCACTGCTCAGGTCTTGCTCCCTGTGACAAGCAGCGAGTGGGTCACGCACGTGCTGGTGGCCGCCTGGGCAAGTGGCTGGCTCGAGCTGCACTTGGGTGATTAGCACCAATTAATTGCAGATGAGCAGCCGCCACCGTCTGCTGCCAGGGTGCCAGGGAGAACCAGGGCTGCTCAGAGGAGACAGGACAGTGGGCCCCTGCCAAAGGATGAGCATGAGCATGAGGATGGAGTGTCTTGCCAAGCTGCGCTCAGGGCTGTCTGCTGCCCTTGGCATTAAGGAGCTGACCCCTGCATCCATGAGCCCAATGAAAATGGACAAACCCCACCACCCTCTGCCCCAGCCCGCCGGCACAGATGTACCAAAATCCCCTGCGAGGCTTCCTCTTGGGCTCCCAGCCTCGAGAGGAACCTGCAGGGCCACCGGGAAGTTGAGCAGCCTGCTTGATTTTGGGCTGGCGGTTCTGGGCCACATGGCAGTGGTTACATCTCTCACCAGCGCCCGCCATGGGAACACGCAGCGATGGGGGGCTCTGGAGACCCTCGTCCTGCCAGACACTCGCTCCCTCCAGCGCTGCTCCCTCCTGTTACTTAACAGTGCGGCAATAATTCCCCTCAGCCGCGGAGGTGCCTGGCTCCGGATTAACGCTGTCCGCTCTGCTTAATCCAGATCAGGGGAGGAAGACCCGGAGCTATGAGGGGCTTTGAGAAATCAGTGGCGCCAGCTGCAGGCATTTACGTAAGGCGTCTGAGGTGTGCCGTGCCGGAGGCTGAGCCGGGACGTTGCCATATGCATCAGCACCCAAGGAGCTCTGCCAGCACCTGGGGACAGTTGTATTTTGGGAGGCAATATGGGTTCACCCGTGCCAGCTTACTCAGTGGCTCCAGCTCCACCTGAGCTACCTTGGGAGGGGACACCCTAAGGGTGAGGGCCCCAAAGTGGGAGGGTGTGGGTAGCCCCACGGCTGGTCCCTGGGGAGGTAGGACACCGCAGGGCACTGTCCTTTGGGAGACAGTGATGAAGCTGGGCCCCCAACACACTCCACCAGCCCCACATCCATTGGCATCCTTCCTCACTGGAAGTAGCTGTTTGAGCTGTGCTTCACACAGTGCCTGGGCCTGGAGGGATGGGTGGGAGGAGGCAGCTAAGAGGAGTCTTTGGCCATTTATGAAATAGGAAAAAGGAAGAAGCCCTCTCTCATTTCCCTATTATTTTTAACACAGTGCTGCATCCCCCAGCTTCCTTCCCCGATGCTTGGTTCAGAGCACGGCATGAGTGCGGGAAGGTATGTGGTCTGTCTGTCTCAGCACCGTTTTGAGGGAGAGAATATCTGCCACCCCACCTGGGCAAGGTCTTCCCAGCTGAATCCCCCCAGTCAGGATTAAACTGAGCTGAAGCCATCCATAACGAAATCTGCTCTCCGTCCTCGCCACACTCCACAGACCCTGCGGCCATGGCCCTTGTGAACGGCACCAGTCTCAGAGCCCTTATTAAGAGCCTGACAAGGAGCAGCAAACAGAGAGCCCAGGATTAGGTGCCCTGGGCACTGAGGGCAGCTGCTACACCGTGTCTCCCCCTCGGCTGGGCAGAGGGTGTCTAGGTGAGGCTGCCTCCTCCTCCTCCTCCTCCTCTTCCACTTGCCAGTGGGAAGGTCACAGTTCACGTGTCCTCCCGACCTTGGCAGAAATAGCACCCGCTAATCTGCAAACTAAGCAGCTCTCCTGTGTACAGTTAAAGAGATCACAAGTCCTGGCCCCGGGCAACGTGTGTTGACAGCTAAAGCCCTGGGCAGTGGGACTGGTGGGGCTGCTGCCTCCTGGTGGCTCCCAGTGGCTCCCAGTGGCCCACGGGGCTGGGGCACAGGTGGGCTGTGTTTGGGAGGGGTTGGTACCCAGGTGCTGAAGGTTGTGGAGCTGATTCAGGGTGCTGGGAGGAGGTTGCTGGCAGCTCTGGGCACACCAGTGAGCAGGGCCATCCTGAGCTCAGCGCTCAGTTCCGGGGGCTGAGCCAGAACCAAGTGTGTGCTCAAAGCAAAGGGTCTGCCCAAGCAAGCGAGGGCCCGAGGGATGCTGGAGGTGAGGTAAATGGGTGGGGGCTTGCTAGAGCAGTTTGCAGGCTGCCCTGGGCTGTCCTGGGGGTCTGTACCCTGTCCCTAGGGCCAACCTGGAGGCAGCATCCACACCAGCATCCATCCCTGCGGGAGGCGGATTGGCAGCAGCTGAGCAAGGATGGTAGCAGGGAGCACTTCTCTCCTGACCATTCATACGGCAAATCTACGCTGTGCTTTCAACAGTTTTCTATTTGCAGCAGCAAACCTTGAATTAATAATGTGCTAATCGGGTCAGGTGAGGCCAGCCCGCAGCGTTATGAAATGACGCGTGGCTGAGCACATTGCCTGGTGGTGCCGGGGGACAGTGGCAGGGTCCTGTCCCCCTCCCTTCCCTGCCACTTCGGAGGGAGCAAAGCCTGGCATGGGAGCTGCAACTGCAGCCCTGAGCCTTGCGTGTGCCTTTGCCCCATCATCTTTTACACCAGCAGCCCCGTGGCAAGGGTGTCCCGTGTGCCCTGGACCACAGCAGGTCACCTCTAGGTGACCAGCCACATGGGCTTGTTGGCCATGCAAGAAGCTGCCCGCACCTCCCGCCCATCTGTCAGCCATTCAGCAAAGTGCATAACAGAGGGATAAAACCTGGCAGGTCCCTCCCTCCCCTCTGCCACCTCTATCCGCTCATGCCCGGGGCTGGCCTAACCCCACTTGTAGAGAGCCCCCGTGGGAATCTGTGCCCCTGCCTGCACCCCTGCCCACTTTGAGCAGAGCTTCCACCTCGATTATCATCACCTTCCTCCTAAACCCACTTTGTCAATCTCTGTAAGCTGCTTTCTCAGGGCTCTGGCAGCAGCTGTATTTATAGCCCACTCTTACTCATGAAGCATCTCCCCAATTAATAAACTAATAGGATTCTTCCCGAAAGTACCTCTCCCACGGTGTACACCCCCCCGCATCTCCAGCCAAAGCCGAGCGGGCGAGGCCAGATGCCAGGGGTGGGACCACTGGGGAGGTATAAGAAGCTGCAGGACTGGGAGCAGCCCATAGTGATTGGGTGGCAGTGGGACCTGCTGGGAGAGGAAGAGGAGAGCCTCTGTCCATCCATCCATCCATCCATCCATCCATCCATCCATCCATCCATCAGGTGAGTGCTGCCTGCTCTGCTGCCTGGGCCCTGCTAGCGCTTTGGGGCACAGACCCTGCTGTTTTGTAAAACACTTTGGGGCAGGGACATTGGTCTGTGGCTGGAAGGAGGGAGGTTTGGGGCTGAAAGGGGAAAAATCTGGCCAAAAGGATTTCAATGTGGCAGAGCCATGGGGCGTGGGTGGAGGGGTCAGTTAGCAGCATAGGATAGATTAGCCAAGCCAGGAGGGCTCTGAGACCCCCTCTCTGCAGCTTGGGAGATGCAGAGAAGTTCAGCTCTTCTCCACCTTTCAACGTCTCATCCCCAGTTCTTGGGCTCTGGAGAGGGCTGAGCCTGTGGCTCTGCTCTGTTCCCTCTTCCTTTGCATCTTCTCTTGCTGCTGCCCAAGAAACTCGCCCAAGCATCCCATCCTGCAGCACCCAACAGCATCAAAGATCCCGTGTTTGGGACTAATTCCTTGTTTTCCTGTGGGTAAGAGGATCACCTCTTCCTCCCCATATCAATTTCTTCTTTCTCCCCAGCATCCCTGCGGTTGCATAAAGGGGCAACTATGTCCACATGCCCGTGAGGCTTAAAACCCTGCCTGGGCTTAAGCTCTGCTAATGTCAGAGCTGCCTAACTCTAAGAAGCTGAGCTCATCCCGTCTAATCTCCCCAGCGAATCAGCTGGTGATCAGTGCGATATTTAAGGTTTAATTCTTGATGCCAGGCTTGAGCAAGCAAAAGGCAGGCAGCGCAGCCGGGCAGCCCTCCCTGAGCTGGCTCTGGCACTGTCAGCCAGGCATGTAGACAGAGGGGCTGGAGGTCAGGGCCATGCGCCCCAAGACCACCCCGCCCACAGGGCGGTTAAGCTGCTCACGACCTTTCTGGTTTCCTCGCTCTTCCACGAGTGATGGGACAAAATGAGCCCATTCCTGCCATTAAGTCATGACAGCCAATTTCCTGCAGACAAGAAAAATTCATAAAATTTAAACTCTCTAAGTATTTTTGTTCATTTTCTTGCCTTTCCCAGCCTTGTACTTACTCCCTTGGGTGTCACCCCTATTTTCTGCAGCCTGCCTGGGGCATCACTCTCCCTTTTTTCTCTTCCACCTCCTGTTCACCACCAGACACTTGCTCGACTCGGCTGCCCCACCAGGACTCCAGCCCCTACCATGTGCCTTTTGTGCCACCCCGAAGCTGGGCATCCCCAGCCGAACCCCGAGCACCCGTGCTCTGCAAAGGCAAAAGGCCCGGCAGCGCTGTAGCCCGAGCACTCTGTGGTTCGTTGGGTTGTGATTTTGTCTCACTGGCTGGTGATGTCCAGTGGCCCTTTCCTACCACCCTGCCCATCATTTCCCTTCCATCTCTCCCTACAGATCCCTGCCTGCGTGGCCGCTGACTTAAAATGGCAGAAGGAGCAAAGTAAGAGTCTCTTTCTTATCTTCTTTTTCTTTTTTTTTAATTGGGATGGCACAGGGTGTTGCGGGGCAGGAACAGAGGGAGAAAGCGAGCCCCCAGCTGCCCCCGCCCACTGACCCATGAGCTGGTATGTGAGCTCGCTGTAGAGAGGTGATGCAAGTCATTGTGGAGCCACAAAAGCACCTTCTCTTTTCTTCGGTGTGTTGGTGCTTTCTCACTCGCCTGTATGACACAGCCAGCTAATGCACCCCTCCTCAACAGCCACACGCTGAGCTCAGGGCATAACATCCCCTGGGAGAGACAGACGGGGCGGGTTCGAGCTCTAAATCAGCAGGACACCGAATTCCCCAAGGCCAGGACATCCCACGCGTGCTCTAGCGTAGCTCTCAGAGATGTTCGCAGGGAAGCCCTCTCCAGCTCCAGGGAGATGAATGGCAGTCCCCTCCCTCCCTGCCCCAAAAGCAGGCTGTGCTACATCCAGCCTCATCCAGGGTGTTCTCAACCTGTCTGTCTGTGTTTCCTTCACAGGGTGTTCAAGAAGACCAGCCCCAACACCAAGGTGAGTCCATGCTCACAGAGATGGGACTGTGAGCCCCGTCCCTGGGTGCAGGTCAGGCCAAGGTGCTGGGGCCCTGTGGGGTGGCTCTGACCGTAGGTCAGGACATGTACTGGGTTTCCTTTCCTTTTGAAATCTGACTGATTCCTGTTACACCTGCCACGATGCCAGCACAGGGCTCGCTTTTCAAAACAGAAATGTAAAAAGCCCCAAAACTATGAATCCTTAAATGCAATGCCTGGTCTAACACGCTAAGGGCAGGGTTAACGAGCCCCCGACACCACCCCGGGCTTGACATTTTCAATGGCAAACGCTCACCTGTTTCCTTTCTTCCTTTCACCATGTGCTGCCTCCAGCTATCCATCTACCTGGGGAAGAGAGACTTTGTGGATCACGTGGACAAGGTGGACTCCGTAGGTGAGTGGGGCCATACCCGCCATGGGAGCGGGAAGTACAGGCGGCAAGGGGTCTGGGGGGACCGGTCCCTGTGCCGGTGGCTGCTTGCCTCTGCTTCCCACTGGAGCAGGCGGAGCAAGGGCAGCTCCAAAGCAGCAAGTCCCCTTTTTTTCTGCTAATACCCTTATAGAAAAATGGTGGGGAAAGGGACAAAGTCCCTTTGCAAAACCATCCAGCCATGCTGCTGGTGGGGATGCTGGAGGGGGCATCACTGTGCCCCTGACCACCAGCTCCGCTCACCTTCATGGCTGATGTGCAGATGGTTTAACTTTTAAAAGAGCTGTATTTTTGCAAGGATCTTCCTGGGAAGCTGAGCTCACTGGCCCTTTTCTGTTTGTTTGCAGATGGAGTCTGCCTGATTGACCCAGAGTACCTAAAGGACAGAAAAGGTATCAAGACAAACCCCCATGTTATAAGGGGAAGGGATGGAAATTGGTGCAAAGCTCAGAAAGTTTTCAGCTCTTCTGCCTGGGGCACCAGCTCTGAAGCTGCCCTTGCCTTGCAGAAAGACGTGATGAATCTTGTTAACCTCTTAGGGTTTGAGATCCAGGCCTTGATAGCAGAGTCAACTTTCTCCTAAAGAGTTATTAGTTTCTCTTTCCTTCCTCTTCATTCAAGCCCTTTCTCCCTGTGCTTTTATCTCACCCTTGCCCTAACCCCACTCCTCTCCATTTCCGTCTGACTTCAGTGTACGTGACGCTGACCTGCGCGTTTCGCTACGGCCGAGATGACCTCGATGTGATTGGGTTGACCTTCAGGAAGGACATCTATGTCCTGACCACGCAGATCTTCCCACCGGTGCCAGACCAGGCACCCAAAACCCTCACTCCTTTGCAGGAGAAGCTGATGAAGAAGCTCGGGGAGAATGCCTACCCCTTCACCTTCGAGGTAGGGGCTGTCCAGCCCTTCACGCCTGCACACCTCCTGTGCACCAGGGCTCATCTCTGGGCACACTATTTACTTTTTTTCTCTCTTGCCCTGTGCTGCCCAGATTGCTACCAACCTGCCCTGCTCAGTCACCCTCCAGCCGGGACCAGATGATGTGGGAAAGGTGAGCTGCTGTCCCCTAACCTGTGTCCCCAGGAGCCATTCCCCTTAGCAGGGGGTTAAGTTGTGGGGTGCCAAAACTAATTGCTGCTTCTCTTTCATGGGGATGTGGCCCACGGGTTGAGAGTTGGGAAGGAAGGATGGCTGGAGATGGGATCAGGATCTTGGGGATGCAGTGGAGGAAGGAGGGGAATGAACATAAACCTCAGGCAGCTCTGAGACCCTCCTGCTTAGTGACCATATGTGTCCCCCCCAGGCCTGCGGCGTGGACTTCGAGGTCAAAGGATTTTGTGCTGAAAATCTGGAGGAGAAAATTCACAAAAGGTATTTGCAGGGGATCCCTCTCCTGCCCCGTGTCCCTAAAACCAAACCACCAGATGGTTTTGGGGTGGCCAGCTTAGGGACTGGGCCAAGGACCTGCCTGTGCCATACTTGTATCTGGTACTTTGCCGAAGGAGGGGCAGTGGTCCCTTTGTTAGTGCCCACCATGCCCTAAGAGCAGGCTGCAGCTTGCTGCCTTTGCATAAAGACACCATGATGTCCCTGAAGACAGCCAACATGTCCCCCATGAAGGCCATGTTGACACATCCCTGCTGGGGAGGACTGGGGGATGACAGCTTCTTGCCCTGCAGGAACTCAGTGCGCCTCATCATCCGCAAGATCCAGTTTGCACCCATGAAGACAGGGCCAGCCCCAAAGTCAGAGACCACCCGGCAGTTCATGATGTCCGACAAGCCCCTGCACCTTGAAGCCTCCCTGGATAAGGAGGTCAGTACAGGGGGCTGTCCCCTGGCTTGTGCCACCATGTGCATTCCCAGAGCTGGGGACTGGGATGTACGGTTGCGTAACTGAGCATCTTCCCACCACAGATTTACTACCACGGAGACCCCATCAATGTGACCGTCAACATCAACAACACCACCAACAAGATTGTGAAAAAAATTAAGATTTCAGGTGAGAGAGGGCAGGAGGGGTACATCCCAGTGCCCACCGCATCCCAACCTCCCGGTCAGAGATGGGGACCACACACCCTTGCCTCTGCCACATCACCACCACTGCTCCCTCTTGTTTCTCCCCAGTTGATCAGATCACAGATGTGGTCCTCTATTCGCTGGATAAATACGCAAAGACTGTGTGCACTGAGGAGATAAAGTAAGGAAAAAGGGGTTGGGGGTGGTGTGGGATCGTGACCAGAGGGAGGAGGAGGAGGAGGAGGAGGGGAGAGTGATGGGGAGAGGGGGTGGGAAGATGGTTTTACACCAGGCAGCAAAAATATAGGTGTTAGAAGAGCAGATGAAGAGGAAGCAGCGGACAGGGCACTGTGGCAGGCTGTGGACACCGTGCCCCTCAGCACAAGCTGGTGTCCCTGGGGGAGGGTGTGCAGCTGCCCCCCACCTGCTTCCTCGCCTCACTTTGCATCTCTGAGGCCAGCCGCAGACTCTCTGCCCCTGAGAACGAGGAGGGACAGAGCAAAGGCGGCGGATAGAAAAAAGAAGTGGTTGTGTAAGGGAACGAAAAGAGGAAACGGGCCCAGGCAGCTTCATGGGGAGAGCAGGGCTGGGAGGACTGGCTCTGCCCAGGTGCCTGGCGTGATGTTGAGCATCCATGGTTGGTGCTGAGTGCCCACCAAGCTGGTGCTCGCTCTGAGCTCTCCTCTCCCACCCCTTCCAGTGAGAACGTGGCGGCCAACTCTACCTTCTCCAAAACGTACTCCGTCACCCCCACGCTCTCGGCCAACCGTGAGAAGCGAGGCCTCGCTCTCGATGGCAAGCTCAAGCACGAGGACACCAATCTGGCCTCCACCACCATGTAAGAGCCAGGCAGGTTCCCTCCACTCCCCACCATGCCTGGACCCATGCCTTCGCCCTTCTCCAACAGCTTCCCACTGCTAGGATGGTTCCCACCAAGGGAGACACACCTCCTGTGCCTGAGCCCATCCCTTCTAGGTGCAAAATGTAGGGATTTTGTGACATGGCCACAGACCCACCTCTCCATCTCATTGGAGAGGCATATCCTCCCAGTCTGAACCATCGTCCAAAGCCCCTGTATCCCTCTGCAAAGCTCCATTGTGTCTCATCTCAGGAGTAAATTCCAGCTCACGCAGCTCAAGTGGCCTCCAGACACTGCTCCGTGGCTTCAGCCAAGTGACCTGCCCTTCCCTCTTTTCTTGCCACATCGTGTTGTCCTCTCCTGCTGACCCCCAGTGCACCCCACAAGACACAGGGCAAGGAGGCAGCCTTAGGAGCAGCCTCGAGGGGGGTGGGCAGGGTCTGTGGTGGCCCACGGACAGCACTGCCCACCTCACCGCTCCGCTCTGCTTTTCTCCTAGCCTGAGACCCGGCATGGACAAGGAGGTGCTGGGCATCCTGGTGTCCTACAAAGTGAAGGTCAACCTGGTGGTGTCCCGAGGAGGGTGAGGCTCTGCAGGCACAGGGGGCAGGGACTGTCCCCTTGGGCTGTGCTGTGTTTTATTTGCCCCTGTTATAGATCTTCTACCTTACTATAAAGCAAAGTCTAACACCTCCCCTCCTCTGCCCTGGCTGCTTTCTGTCCCTTCTCTCCCGCCGCCGCAGCATCCTGGGGGATCTCACTTCCAGGTAAGGGGGGAGATGCCTGGGGACTGAGCATGTTGCGGTGCCGGGTGGGTTTATTGAAAGAAGTGCTTCTCCTTCCAGTGACGTTGGTGTCGAGCTGCCTGTCATCCTGATGCACCCGAAGCCTGCGGATGGTATGTAGTGCCCAGGATGCTGCTGAAACATGGGGGGAGGGAGTGCCCATTCAGAGGGAACTGGTAAAAGCAATCCTGATGCAGCCAACTGTGCAAAGGGCCTTGCTCTGCCCCAGCATCCCTGGCTGCGGGATGGGCAGGGTTGCTCCGGCTGTGCGGCAGCCTGGGACCGGCCATAGGAGCAGCTCTCCTCCTCACAACACCCCGGCTGCCACCCGTCTCAGTGCCCCTCTTTCCAGAAAAACACCCAAGCATTAAGAAGAGATGTTAGTTGAGATGTCCTTTCTCTGTTAACCTGTATATGTGTCTCTCTCAATTCTTGCCTCCCTGTGCTGCGCTTGTCAATGGGCTACAGATAAGCCAAGGTAAAGCGATGTTTCCTTATACCTCAAGCCAGTATTTCCTCTAACACAGAAACCATACAGATCCATCGCAGATGGATGCAATGCCCCGTTCCAGTTTGAGATTGCATCCTTGGGTTAAACCATGCAGGCCTCAAAGTTCTGAGCCCCTGTGGCACAACGGACACCGTGACACCCTCCATGGTGGCACGGGCAGCAGGAGTCACAGGCTGAGAGGATTCAAATGCTGGGCCTGGCACGTGTTCTGCAAATTTCCAGGGCTTATTTTACAACTCCCCTGGCTGCAAACACAGCAGCCTCTCCTGCTGCGAGCCCAGACCTCACTTTGCCCCTTACTAGCAGACGACAGTGCTGCGTCTTCCCAGTCACAAGTGCCACCACCGGACGTAACATCCCCCATGGCTTCGGCCCCCATCCGCCCCACGCTGAGGTCCCTCGACGCTGGAAGCAGTGCTTTGGCACCCAAGGGCACGCGGCCAGGTTGCTGCAGCTGGCAGCCCCGTGGCTATGGCACGGCTGAGGCAACGGCCGTGAGGTTGGCTGCTGGTCACAGCCCCGTGCCCCCACACACTCCCCGTTGCCAGAGCTTTCTTCTCCTCCCACGACATGAGCTTATTCCAGCTGAAGCCACAGCTGGGGTTGCTTCCCTTTGGGAAGCCACAGCATGCCAAACCAATTCCTGGCAGCCATGCCTGGCAGCTACGGCCGCCAACCAGTCCTGCAGCCGGCCCTTACTTGCAAAGGCCCAAAAGGCTGTTTTTGTGTCTGGTTACACCCTGCAAGGGGACACGAGCGCTGGGATTTGGAGCCTGGAAACTCAGTCTACAACTGCAAGGCTTTCACACCAAAGCCTATCAGTTTCCCAGCTCAGCAAGGATATTTAAACTTCCCGAGGAGGAAATCTCTTGGCCTGTCCCCACCATCACTCCCTGTGGATTTTGCCAAGTCGTTTCACATTCCCAAGCTTTTGGAATCGGTTTTGCTGACTCTTTTTTTCCGTTTGCTTCCCCCGCTTTTCATTTTGTGGCTTTCCCTGATGGCATCCGCTGCTCGCCTTTCGCAAGGAGGTAACTAATCTCTTTGTCTCCACTTTAATTTCTTTTCCTTCCCTTTTTTCCCTTGACAATGCAAAACATTGTCTTAAAAAAAAAAAAAAGTCAGAAGTTGCGGTTGCTCTTGCCTGGCCTCTCCGGTCACACACGCTCCCAGCCGAGCCAGCAATCCATCCTGGATTTGTGTCCTCAGGTCAGGCTGTGGCTCACAGTGACCTGTCTGTTCCCTGCAGCGTGTGGGGTGATGGGGCCAGGCACCAGCAGGATTTATGCGCTGTCCCCTAGTAGGAGCAAGGTTGGGGTGTCAGCAGGGATTTCACCCTCTTCGCTGCGGTGCATCCCGGGCAGCCAGACCACGGGCTCCCCAAGGCTGCCTTCCTGGGGCTCACCATGCTCTCATCTCCCTTCCAGTGAGGAGGACATCGTCATCGAGGAATTTGCTCGCCAAAAACTCAAGGGGGAGAAAGACGATGAAGACGAGAAGGAGGAGGCTGACAAAGAGGAAAGCTAGCCTGCTGCCTGCTCGCACGGACAGCCACCGGCCCCACGCGCCCCGGGTTGGGATGTAGATGCCTGTAGCGCGTTCCCCGCTGCATCGCATGTAGTGCGGACCTCGGCCCTGTACGCGGTGCAATGCATTCCCCTAGGTACAACCCTCCTCTCCCGGGCTCCTTGCACCGACCCCAACCCCTGGTTG